CATTCTGCTTTGGTGAGTGGCGTCTGGGGTCTTAAAACCTTGCAAGCAGCCATATAAGATGCATCAGTTGGTCCCGGCCACCTGGAGTAAAGGTGAATGAAGAACAGCAAAGACACAAGGAAAGTATTAGCCCAAGAGACAGAAAGGGCCACATAAACCAGAAACTTCATCAGCCTGAGACCAGAAGAACTAGGTGGTACCCAGCTACCACCAATGACCGCCCTGGCTGGGAACATAACAGAGAGTCCCGGATGGAGCAGGAGAAAGGTGGGGTGCAGAACTCAAATTCTAGTAAGAAGACCAGACTTGATGGTCTGACTGAGGCTGGAAGAACCCCGGAAAGCATGGCCCCTGGATTCTCTGTCAGCCCAGAACTAAAACAATTTCCGAGGCCAACTCTTCAGATGGGGATTGGGCTGGACTGTGGGACATAAAGTGATACTCGTGAGGAGTGTGCCTCTTAGCTCAAGTAGATACAAAACGGGCAGCTTCTTTCCGGAGGTGGGATGGGAAGGCAGAGAGGGTTAGGAGCTGGTTGAATGGACATGAGGAATCGGGTGGAAAGGAGGAGTGTGCTGTCACAGTATGGGGAGAGCAATTAGAGCCACGTAACAATGTATGTATAAATTTTTGTATGGGAAAAAATTTAAAAAAACCCTATGGAGCACAGTTTTACTGTGACACGCGGAGTTGCCATGAGTCAAAGCTGACTCAAAGGCAGTTGGATTGGTTGGTGATTACATTAGCCCACCCCACCCCCCGATAATCTTCTATTGTAAGGTCAGTTGATTATCAACCTTTATTCCACCTGCTACCTTAATTCCTGATTGCCCCAAGTTCTGAGGATCAGTTCTTGGACATCGTCGGGGAGTGAGGCATCATTCTGACTACGATAGGTTATAATGCTTTCATTTTAAGGTTCTGAGATATATATACATACATACCATGAATCTCTAATTTTAAACTCTCTCAACGGTAACAGGACTGATATTGAGTTACTTATAAGGGGAAGAGGGTAGGGATGACTAGTTGCTTTGAACTTAGTTGTTAGCACTACCTTGGTGTCTTTAAATCAGTCTTGAATTGTCTTTCCTATTATCTTCTACAAATTAAAGCTAATATGTACTGCTTGCCTAAAATATCTATTTCAGTCAAGAATTGAATCCATGACTTTTAAAATGATCATCTTATTAGATTAAGAATCTGTGTACATTTAGATAATATTGTATCTTAAATTTTGAAGTTTTCTTTATAAATTTAAATAAGTTATGAAACGAAATAATAATGTATTTATATATTATTCCTTAGGTTATTTGGCATCTAATCCAAGATTTGGATCATTGCCTAAAGTTGCACGTAAGTCATAGATGTGAAAGAAAAAAATAGATTTATGTTGGAAAAAAGATGTTTATAGCAACTGGAGATATGAATGTCTCAAACTAACTGAACTGCCTGTATTTACTATGAAAATTCAGTCTCCATTTTTTGTCACTATGCATTTCTTACCTCGTTCAACACTTTCTGATACAAAGCTCAGCAGCAGGGACTTGGCCTTATACAATTCTCTTTAAAGCATGGACTAGGAGGAACTAGCAGGATATGTAACTAGATGTCAACAGCAGAGTTTCTGGGGGATAGACCCATTAGTGATTTTAATATTTTTCTTTTGGCCAGTCTTTTCAACCTGTGTTTTATAGTGGACATAAAAAGTGAGTAATTGTAAAAATCAGCAACTTTCTAATAACAAATTTACTATGAACCTGGGGTTTCACCTTTTCCGATTGCTATACACAGTCCTTTCATGTACAGAGAGGATGCATTCCAGTTTACAGTCTGAAATCTTGTTTCCAGTGTGAGCCACAGGGTAGAGATTTCTTCCATGCTGCACTACAAGATGCAAAGACATTCAACTGTGTGGATCATAACAACTTATGGATAACATTGTGAAGAATGAGCACTCCAGAACACTTAATTGTGCTCTTGCAGAACCTGTACATAGACCAAGAGACAGTCATTCAAACAGAACAAGGGGATACTGCATGGTTTAAAATCAGGAAAGGTGTGTGTCAGGGTATTCTTTCACCATGCTTATTCAATCTGTATGCTGAGCAAATAATCTGAGAAGCTGGACTGTATGAAGAACATGGCATCAGGTTTGGAGAAAGACTCATTAACAACCTGCGATATGCAGATGACACAACCTTGCTTGCTGAAACCAAGAGGACTTGAAGCATTTAGTGATGAAGATCAAAGACCACAGCCTTCATTCTGGATTACACCTCAACATAAAGAAAACAATCCTCACAACTGGACCAATGAGCAACATCATAATAAACAAAGAAAATACTGAAGTTGCCATGAATTTCATTTCACTTGGATCCACAATCAACATCCATGGAAGTAGCAATCAAGCATCAAAAGACCTATTGCATTGGACAAATCTGCTGCAAAAGACCTCTTTAAAGTGTTAAAAAGCAAAGATACCACTTTCAGGACTAAGGTGCGCCTGACCCACGCCATGGTATTTTCAGTCGCCTCATATGCATACAAAAACTGGACAATGAATAAAGAAGACTGAAGAAGAATTAATGCCTTTGAATTATGATGTTGGTAAAGAATATTGAATATACCATGGCCTGCCAGAAGAACAAACAAATCTATCTTGAAAGAAGTACAACCAGAATGCTCCTTAGAAGCAAGGATGGTGAGACTTTGTCTCGTGTACTTTGGACATGTTATCAGGAGGGACCAGTCCCTGGAAAAGGACATCATGCTTGGTACAGTAAAGGGTCAACAAAAAAGAGGAAGACACTCAGCAAGATGGACTGACACAGTTGCTGCAACAGTGGGCTCAAGCATAACAGTTGTGAGGATGGTGCAGGACCAGAGAGTGCTTTGTTCTGTTGTGCGTAGGCTTGCTATGAGTTGGAACTGACTCAATGGCACCTAACAACACCACCACTATAAGAGCCTTGGAAACCCTTTGGGACAGTTCTGCTCAGTCCTGTAGGATTGCTATAAGTCAGAATCGACTCAACAGTAGTGTGTTTGGTTTTTTTGGTTTTGACACTATAGGAGGAGTCCCTGGGTGGTGCAAATGGTTAATGCATTCGACTGCTAACCAAAAATTTGGAGGTTCAAGCCCACCCAGAGACAACTCAAAAGAAAGGCCTGGTGATCTACTTCCAAAAAACTAGCCATTGAAAACCCCATGGAGCACAGTGCTGTTCTGACATACACAGGGCTGCCATGAGGCAGAATCGACTCGACAGCAACTGGACTGGTACACCATAGGATGGTCCCCTCTCCCTTGTGACCTCTCTTCCCTGCAGCACCCTGCTCCAAGTCCATAGAGGGGATTAAGGAACCTTCCTACCTGGCGTCTAAGAGACTTCCCATAGCCACAGCCTAGACCCCTCCTTCCCCTCTCCTGGAAACCTCAGCCATTTGGTTACCAGCCAGGCCACCCTCAGGCTTTGTCTCTCTGGGACAACACCTTTGCTTGCTCCATCCTGGCCTCTATCCCCAGTTCAAATCTGAGGAGATCAGAAAGTCCCCAATTGCCAGTCCTGCTTTTTAATATTGTTAAGTGCCGTTGAGTTGGTTCCGACTCATAGTGACCCTATGTACAACAGAACGAAACACTGCCCGCTCCTGTGCCGTCCTCACAATCATTGCTGTGTTTTAGCCTATTGTTGCAGCCACTGTGTCAGTCCATCTCATTGAGTGTCTTCCTCTTTTTTTCTGACACTCTATTTTACCAAGCATGATGTCCTTCTCCAGGGACTGGTCCCTGCTAATAACACGTCCAAAATAATGTGAGATGAAGTCTCGCCATCCTTGCTTCTAAGGAACATTCTGGCTGTACTTCTTCTAAGATATATTTGTTCGTTCTTCTGGCAATCCATGGTATATTCGATATTTTTTGCCAATACTATAATTCAAATACATCAATTCTTCTTAGGTCTTCCTTATTCATTGTCTGGCTTTCACGTGCATATGAGGCAATTGAAAATACCATGGCTTGGGTCAGGCACACACATCTTAGTCCTTAAAGTGACATCTTTGCTTTTTAACACTTGTCTTTTGCAGCATACTTGCCCAATGCAATGCATTGTTTGATTTCTCGACAGCTGCTTCCATGGACGTTGATCGTGGATCCAAGTAATGAAATCCTTGACAACTTCAATATTGTCTCCATTTATCAAGTTGTTGCTTATTGGTCCAGTTGTGAGGATTTTTGTTTTCTTTATATTGAAGTGTAATCCATACTGAAGGCTGTGGTCTTTGATCTTCATCAGTAAGTGCTTCAAATTCTCTTCATTTCAGCAAGCAAGGTGTGTTATCTGCATATGGCAGGTTGTTAATGAGTCTTCCTCCAATCCTGATGCCGCATTCTTCTTCATATAGTCCAGCTTCTCAGATTATTTGTTCAGCATACAGATTGAATAAGTATGGTTATTAGGGAGCTTCATTCTCAGAGTTTTTGTTCATTGATTTATCCTAATACTTTAAAATAAAAATTACTACTGTTAAGTTCTAGAAGAGGATTAAATTAATAGATAAGATTCTGAACCTTTGAATGATCCATTTTTCCTAACCTGCTTTTACAGTTGCTGGTCTTTTGGGATTTGGACTTGGAAAGGTATCATACATAGGAGTATGCCAGAGTAAATTCCATTCCTTTGAAGATCAGCTCCGTGGGTCTGGTTTTGGTCCAGGGCATAACAGGTTTGTAATCTTTTTTATTGAAGGGATTGTAAATGAAGATAATTATAAGAAATCAAATAATAGATCATCACCATTTGTAACATTAAAGTTTTTAAAAATCCATATGTTAAAGAAAACTTTTTAACCCTCAAATTTTGAGTTGTTGCCACCTAACTTCAATAATTTTTATTTAATATTTATCTTAATTACCTAACAATTTCATTTCCACAACAGATATATTTAATGAGTATTCACTACATTCAAGGCATTTTGAAAAGTCTCTAATCAGTACCTTAATGAGCAGACGTGGCTTCTACTATCATGTGGCTACATGAAATTTAAACAGATTTCTCCACTACAGGACCTCCCAGGGCCTTTAATATGTTAATATGTATTGTGGTTCTCAAGAGTGGATATAAGCAGTAGGACTTTGGAGTTAGCAGCATGACCTCTGCTGTTAGACTGCCTGGGTTAAAAACCAGTTCAACACTTACTAAGCTGTGTGACCTTGGACAAGTTTCTTAAAGTCTCAAATCTTCTGTTTTCTCATCTGTATTAAATGGTGATCAGAATTGTTTCCATGAGGAGATGTAGAGAATGAAAATAATTATCCATGACACTTAGTAAGTGCTCAGTTAACATTAGCTATTTTTACTATAGTATTATGGACTATAAGGAGCCTGATGGTACAACAGTTAAGTGCTCAACTCCTAATCAAAAGTTGGCAGTTAGAACCCACCCAGCGTCTCTGTGGGAGAAAGACCTGGCAGTCTGCTCACATAAAGATTACAGCCTGGAAAACCCTATGGGGCAGTTCTATCCTGTCACTTAGGGTCATTATGAGTTGTAATCAACTCAGTGGCACCCAGCAACAACAACAACATTATAGACTATAGTTGGGGACATGTTTCTTTAAAGACCCCTCATTTGTCACAGTAGATTCTATTTGAGACGCTGTACATTGACCCTGCTGTCACAATGGTCAAGCGCTTGACTGCTAACTGGAAGGTGGGTGGTTTGAACCCACCAGCAGCTCTTTGGGAGAAAAGACCTGGCAATCAGTTCCTATAAAGATCACAGCCCAGGAAGCTGTATGAGGTGGTTCAACTCTGTCCTATCGGGCTGTTATGAGTCGGCACACAACAACAACAACAACAACACAATATGGTGAAAACAACACTGGACTCAAAGTCAGTATACTGAAGTTCTTTTACTCATTGTGTGGCTTCGAAAGTTATATTCCCTGGGCCTGTAGAGGTAGATAGAACCTTAAACATTGTCTCTTCCTGATGAGATACAATTCTGATCACCATTTAACTGTGGCCCAGAGAGTTGCAGAGACCTTCTGAATATCATGTAGTTAATAGGAGGCAGAAGAAAACTCATTGCCACTGAGCCAATTCGGACACATAGCAACCCTCTAGGACAGGGTAGACTGCCCCGTAGGGTTTCCAAGGCTGTAATGTTTACGGAAACAGACTGCCACATCTTTCTCCTGTGGAGCACCTGGTGGGTTCGAACTGCTGACCTTCCAGTTAGCTGGTGAGAGCTTAACCACTGTGCCACCAGGGCTCCTTAGGAGGTAGAGGGAGGACTCTAATCTCAGCACATTTGTTTTCTAAGCCCATGCTCTTGCCATTACACCATCAAGGCAACCAGAAAGTCATTAATTCCATATTTACGGACAACACCAACTTCAGCCCATCCTTTCAATGTTCTGATTGGGAGGAAGCTGACTGAGGAATAATTGGCCACATGATTCTCATCTGTGTGGAGACAGTGGAAAAAAACAACACAAGCGAAGGAGAGAATTTTGCACACTGTTTCCTCTTCCTGTTTAATTACACGAGTTTACTTTGCAATTAACCAACTTTGGGTTCCAGAAAAATGATGAAGACCAAACTCTACATTTTTTTGACAATGTTCATTGTTCTGGTCTTCATGTATAAAAGGAGGTAGTTGAAGTAAATGGTCTCCAAGGCCTCTTTAAGCTCTGTGTTCTGTGATTCCATTTCAGCTTTCCCACTTCTAGCCACAGCAGCCCCACTGTAGGGTTCGGAGGTGGACTTGCGTAAGTAGCTGTAACCAATTGCTAAGGCCTCTGTGAAGGACTGTTATTACCACCGCATCTCAGAGGCAATAGTTCACAAAGCTATTTGGTTTTCTAGCTAAGGGAAAGTAGAACAGGACATCTAACTAAGTTGAAATGGAGGAGAGGGGCAAGGATGGGGTATCAGGGAAGATCTCTTGGAGATGATGACACTTCACTTGAATCTTCAAAGACCAGAGGAGTTATATCAAGGCAGAAGAAGGGGATTCTAGGCCAGGAGTAGGATGTACAGAGGGGGAAAGTTTACTTATTAAGGGAGCCAAAAATAGATTCTGTGGCTGGAGCTTAGAGAGCTATTGGGTAGTGGCAGAGGACAAGCTAGAAGGTTAGGCAGGCAGGGGTCAGTTGCTGGAGGAATTTATACCGTGCTAAGAATTTTGACTTCATTCTCAAAGCATTGGGGTGAAGTAAGTGATAAAGGAAGGAGAGAGGAGTTCATTCTTCTCTCCAGGGATTTGTAGTAATATCTGCTAGTCTTGCTACCTTCTCAGTAATCCTTCTTACCCAAGTCAGATTGATGGTTCTACAATGCAGATCTCATCCCATCACTATCCTGCTTAATTAAAATCCTTTGGTTACAAACTCTTCATCATAGTAGGTGCTCAATCAGTTTTTTGTTTTTGTTTTTAATTGAATTTCTAAGATTCTAAAACTTTAATGCTGGGGAGGGCCTTGAGGACATTTATTCCATGTATGTTAATAGTATTCAATGACAAAGCCATGCATTTTCCTTGATAGTGCATTAGATCCTGAGGAAATTGATATAAAGTTAGATAAACAATGAACCAGGAGTTCTGGAAATGTCATTAAAAATTTTTTTAAATGAAAAATATATGAGTGTGTGCACATGCATTCACATGAGTGTATAGCCAAACCTAAGTCCGTAGTTGTTGATAGTTGCTGTCGAGTTGATTCCAATTCATGGTGACATCATGTATGCGGAGTAGAACTGCTCCGTAGGGTTTTCAAGACCGTGACCTTTCAGAAGCAGATCGCCAGACCTGTCTTCTGAGGTGCCCCTGGGTGGGTTCGAACCACAAACCTTTTGTTTAGTAGTTGAACATTTAACCATTTGCACAACCCAGGGACTCCTTTAAGTCCATAGGCATATAGTTAAATCTTAGATAAATATGCTGTGTATTTTGTGACTTTGTGCTATGAGTAGAAAATATTCAAATTTAAAAAGGGTCGAAATGTTCAGCCCCTGCATAACCCACATCACAACCTCGATCATCTGTTTCAGTGAAGGTCATTGTTAGCTTTTTTTTTTTTTTAAATGAAAATCTGGGCGTTTTAAACTTAGAAACAGCTCTTGTTGTCCCTATAAAAGTTAGGCTAGTGAACATTAGCATAGAAAATGTCTCTAAGTAATATTGTGTTAAGACCAGAGCTGCTCGTGTCAGCGTACAAACCTTGATCTGTTTTTGCTTCTTTTCTAGGCACTGCCTGCTCACCTGTGAGGAATGCAAAATAAAGCATGGATTAAGTGAGCAGGGAAGTTCACAGCCTTCAGCTTCCTAAACTCTTTTATCTATGACTTTTGAAGTTTCTTAAATCTCTGAATTTGTACACATTTAAAATTTCAAGTGTACTTTAAAATAACAAACTTACATTGGTCCAGAAACATATGTTTCTCTGACTCTTATTGAAATGCTTTCTGACAGAGGACAGGAGTGAATGTTGAGGGAGTTAGGAAGTACTGACCCAAAGAAAACTAATGTGTATACAGAAAGAAATACAGGGCAAGAAGGAGTGTGTCTTATAGGTATGGGAAGTACTTTCTAAAATATGGGGAAAAAGAAAAAAACATTGCTGTAGAGTTGATTCCAACTCATGGTGACCCTCTGTGTGTCAGAGTACAAATGTGCTCCGTAAAGTAATAAAAAATATTTCATTTGAAATAATCACAAGATGAACCAACTGTCTTCCAATGTTCCAGATGACTTTCTGGCTCATCAGTATGGTAGAGATTGGGAGATGGCCTATCCGTTACAGGCTTAGCTAATGGATGCATTGTCATGGCCAGCAGTCAAGAACCAGATTCTTTTATATACTGCTAGTTACCTGAAGGAGTCTCTGGGTGGTGCAAACAGTTAATGTGCTTGGCTGCTAACTGAAAGGTTGGGGGTTCGAGTCCACCCAGAGGCATCTCAGAAGAAAGGCCTGGCAATCTATTTCCAAAAAACTAGCCATTGAAAATCCTATGAAGCAGAGTTGTACTCTGACACACATGGGGTCTCTATGAGTCGGAATCGACTGGGCAGCAACTGGTAACATGACCTGAAAGAATAAACACAATTTTCCAAACTGTGCCTCTTCCTCCCAAGGAACAGCTTATTTATGGGAGGAATCACTGGAAGAATTAACTCATAGAATCATAAACTCATAGGGCTGTTAGGGAGCTCAGAAGCAGCCAGTCCAATGCTAAGAGTTAGCTCTTGACTGTTCTCCTGCCAGGTATTTTTTTTTTTTTTTTTTTTTTTGTACACAAACACAAAAACGAAACAGTAACAACCACAAAACCCTTCCATTTGGGGCCCTTTTATTTTTATGGCACGTTGTCCGACGCTTCATAAAAATTTCTCTTGCATCTTCTCAGGAATATGCTTTATAAGTGTGTCACCATTTATATGTTGTGTGTGTGTGTGTATGTGTTTTAATTAATGCATCTTGAGCCTCTACCAGGGAGGTGAAAAGACAAAATTTCATCCAAAGTTAATACCTGATAGGAAATACCTGTTTAAACATTAAAAATATTTGGAAGTTTGCATTTTTACATGAACATTAAATATGAGAAATGGAGTGATTTTGAATAACCTCCTTATTATATATCCTGTTTTTTCAATCAATCAACTTCTATTTCCAAAAATCAGAACACAGAGCCAATATCCTAGCTTCTTGGATGCAGTTTAATCTTGGCTCTGACAACTGGTAATTGGTGACTGTATCTCAGCTTTTCCTGCATCCCAGAAGATGATTTCCCAGGAACCTGAACATTTCACACTACTAAGCACAGGAAGTCGATGATATAATCAGTATTGAGGTACTGGGAAGAGATGAGTCTATTATTGTTGAAACAGAACATTCTTTTTACTGCTGACATCTTCGTAGTTCATCTCAATCAAATGGGATTTATTGTTTTGGGCTCTCTGCTTTTCCTAAGTAGATAAGTTATTCATTAAAGCAGTTTTTCATAGTGATCTATTTTAGCGTGAAAGGAAATCAGTAAGGAAAAAATCTGGAAGGTTATCCAAGAAGTCTTGATTATTATGCTGCACATCTATTGTATATATTAGGAAGCAAGTATCTGGGGCAAATGTGTCTTGCAGGAAGATGTGTTAGAGCATAGCATCTGTCTTTTAGCATTTAGAAATTACTAGCACTGGTCACCAAGCTGGTCACAGATTATAAGAGGAAGTGTCTTCATAATTAAAAAAAAACCCTTGGCAAAGAAAAGCAAGATAAAGTTACAGATATATTAATTAGACAACATGTTAAAGGTTGGATGTCTAGCCAACTTTGTTGGCAAACTTTCCTCATTACAATATCTACTGATATTCTAAGGAGCCCTGGTGGCACAGTCAGGTACTTGGCTGCTAACCAAAAGGTT